GGCGTGTTCAAGGCTGCTGGTTTGTTGAGCAGGGAAGGATGCATTTACGCCTGGAGGGATTCGTTACGTTGAGTCTGCGAAGAAAAGTGGGTGGAATGGTGAAGTGCAGCTGGTGGTGGTTGATGGAGAATATCATGAATTTCATGTAAATGATCCTTACACTAAGAAAGCAAAGGATTTGATTAAGAAATTGGCTTCTTTTATTTCAAGGTGAGATTTTCTTCTTCTTTTGGAATAAGTATGCATATTAACTTATGCAATATTACCTTTTTTTGTTGTATGCAATATTACCTTTTTTTGTTGTATGTTCATTTATGAGCAAGTCAGTGAAGATTGAAATCCCATTTTTAGTAAAATTTAATAAAATTTGATGAAATACGTGGATGGAAAGTTTGTGTCCCATGAAATGTATAGATAAATTAATTACTGACCTTAATTTAAAATTTTTAATTGGATTCTAATCCGTATTTTAATAATATATTTAATGAAATCCATAACTTTTCAATTACATATTTAATCAATTTTTATCAAAATCTACTAAAAATTTGTTTTGATCCTCACCCAAAAACATACTCAAGGCTAAATAAGTATAGATTCACCCCCTACCTTCCACTCTTGTTAATTCCAAATAAAAAATGCTAAAAAATAAAAAATAAAAAAGGGGCAAAATCATCTTTCCTTCTCAACCCCTTTAATAAGGGCCAATTGCCTTGAGTATGTTTTTGTATAAAGCTTGTAAAAAAAAATTTTGTCAGTAACCCCACTTTATCCTTAGTTACAATGAAGTCTCATCTATGAGGAGCGGAATTGAGATTCAGCAGAAAACTTCGTGGATGCAAGCCAACCCGGGAAAATGGTTCTTGACATGCATACAACACCTGGTAATGAAAATCCAAATCTCATTTCATTTTTTTAGTTAGTATGGCCTATACCTGAATTTTTTTCTACAGGCAAATGGAAGTTGTTGGTACTTTTCGTGGTGTAACCCGCGTATATTTCGTAGATCTATGGAGATCATACCTAGGTTGCTAAAATCCAAGAATGTGTACGAACAACAGGTCCTGGAATTGCAGAGGCAGAACAGTACTTTTGAATTTAGGTCTTGGATTTTTGGGTTTTTGTGTGGGTGTGTTATGATGTGGATTATTGGTTCAAAATAGAGCTTCAGTATCCTTGTTGATTTGCTTAATGAATGGATATTATTAAATGTTGTGATATCCTATAGAAGTTTTGAAATAAATGGTGTGCAATGAAATGAATCATTTTTTTCCTATTTTCTTTCTTGTTTTCTAGTTGGTCAAGGGTATTGGACACTACGATGCATCGTTTCACACTAAAATGGGAAAAGTTGCATAAAACAACCCTAAAAACTTAAAACATTGTGCAATACATCCCTATATAATAAAAACCTTACACATTTCAACCTTATAATTCATTAAATTTGCACAACATTTCCTTGGAAATACATTTCTTGCACAATCTAACCTTGACTATTGAAGGCGTTCAGCTCATAAAACAAAAGAAACAAACAACATAAAAAGGAGAAAACGTCATGAACATAAATAGAACACAATAACAAAGGTTCAAATTACAAAATAAAAATCAAACATAGTTCATAATACTATAAAATGCTAAACATAAAATACATAGTTCCTCATAAAATACCTGCTTGTGTTGTGTCCAATAGCACCACACAGGGAATCCATCATTACCATTACTTTCCTTGATGAATCTTCAACAATAGAGATCGTGGTGGTGGACGGTGTCTGTGTTTTGTTTGCTTCATTTCTTCGTTTCTAGATTGGTCTTCTAGACTTCTTCGTGTATGCCGAAGGTGTCAATTGATATAGTTCAGGATTTTGCCATGTATTTGAACATGTGATTGGGGATATCGATGGTGTATACATCCAAATGTTTGCTTCCTTCTTATAAGCTATTGCGTTTTTCTATCACAAGTGTACGATATCGTAACAAGTAATATAGTGGACCTTTAAGTCCAGATTATCGTTTACACGATGACTATAATTCGGAATTTAATCAAATTTTTCCAACTCATATTTGAAGAAAATAAACAAAGAATTATATATTGTTGTGAATTTTGGGTTTAAACACTTGAAATTAATTACAATGCATACAAAGATTGATTGAGAATTCAAATGATGAACCATATTGATCACCTTTAAGTCTTAATTCAAGATTCAAGGGTCTAATGTAGTGTTCGATCGAATTTTTCTTTTGTATTCAATTTATTCAATCACATATCTCTATGTGAATCTATCTTAGTTAAATGAAATATTAGTTCTAAAAATTCATATAATGATCACAATATTTAGTATATGTATCTCTACATATTACACTAATATACCGAATTTTACTATATGGTCTAATCTCAAACTCACCTCTCGATTCGTAAAAAAATACAAAATCATCAAAGTAGTGACCAAGTAATTTAACACATTAAACTTATAGCAAAATCAAAGCATGCATGATTAAATAACAAGAATACTGAATAAAAGAAATAAATTGTCTATAGTAGATTACATTGTTCGCCTTAATATAAAATTTAACTACTCATAATCATGGAAGAAGAAAAACAAGAAATTGTTATTGAATACATCATCGGGTTTTGAATAATGATGCAGAGAAAAAATTAATCTCACACCAAGTTTTTCTTCATCTTCCAATCAATGCTTCAAAAGTTGAATTTCTTGATCTTTTTCTCCCTTAAATTACGCTCTTCAATCGCTAGTTGTATTTTTTTTCTCATTGCATGAAACTCCCTAAAAGTGCCTCGTTTATTCTATTTATACTCTTTTACACGATTTTTCAAAATTTGGAGTCTTTCTGGCTTTTCGTGGGCCAAAACATTGTAACCCTAAAACAGGCGGCGCAGTGCTTAAGGGTTTGGAAGCAATGCCTAGGCGTCGCGATGCAATTATCTGCAGCACCTAGGCGCTATGTGTGCAATGCCTAAGCGCCGACTTTCTTTAAAAAAATTCATTTTTGGCGCTTGGGCAATACGAACATGGCTACTGGCGCTATTTTGCTGTTTCTTTTTTTTACTTAGGTTGTTTGTTCACTTTAGCACCCTTTTTGCTCCACCTACCCATACCTTTAAAACAACACTAGCAACTACATAAAAAACGTTCTATACTCATAATATTTAGCCAACAATTAAGTTAAAATTGTATAAAAACCCATGAGTAAAAAATACACTCGCCATGAGCTAGTGGTGGCAATCGAGCTGAGTGGCTTGTCGGCTCGATCGCTCGGCTCGTACTGTAGCGGCCCATGAGCCGGTCGGGCTCATCAAAAAAAGGGCCCGAGCAAGAGTCGAGCAGGCCGACTCGTTAGGTGAGCCCGAGCCTGCT